TTCTTCAAAAACACACGATTCTGGTGACTCAATTTCAAAAAGCCATAAACCGTCCTGTGAGCTCATAGAACGAGTTTATCTCTAGAGCTGAACTTAGCTTCACTGAACCATGAAGTCTTAAACTAGTACGTACTACTTTAAAACTACTTCAAGACCCGTAGTAATCGGCTTCGAGGCCTACGCTCAATATTCCCAGAAATGCAGTTCTGTTTTTGTCTTCTTTTCTGCTGTTCGGTGCACGAGCTGAAGGGGAAGTTAACGGGAAATTAGTATGGGCTCCATGATGCTTAGGATTGCATGCATTAAAGAAAAGAGAGAGAAATAAAGAGAGAGGACAGGAAATATTGATATTCTATTTCGAAATAGAACATCAATATTTGGACTGAATTTTCGTTATTTGATAAAATACATGGATTCAAATGGTTATTCTGAATAACTTTATGTATTCGGCCGAAAGCAACACCTTATCAGGAGGATTCTTAGCATTTCTAGGTGAGCGTCCGCAAGGGACACTCAAACAACGACCGAGTGTTCCCCAAGGGTCCGAGCTGGGACCTCTAATTCTTCTCATCTACATGAACGACCTAACCACGAGGATAGTACGCCCCTCTTTTCTGTTTGCTAATGACAAAAATTTATTGGCGACCCCTCTACAAACGTCTTTCAGGACGACCTGGATGAATTCCAGAAGTGAACGGAGGAGTAGCTGTTGCCGCTAAATGCTGACAAGTGCAAACAGCTACTCTTAGGAGGATCCCTCGCAGAGACAAGGGTGATAAATGGCACTGGGCCCACACCGGTAGAAATTACTGATGAGGTCAGGGACCTGGGTATCATCAGACACGGTTCATTCTAGTCCACAAGAAAGTGTCAGCTAGCCTCAGCAAAGGCTTCAAAGGCGCTGTTCTTGCTGAGAAGAACAGTAGCATCGAGGGAACCTGCAGTATTACTGCCCCTCTACAAAGCCCTGATGCGATCATATTCTGAATACTGCGTGCAAGCATAGGCACTGAACCTCGTGCGTGACCAAAAGGCTATAAAACACGTTCAGAGACACTTCACTATGTCTTTTCCTTCCCTGAGAATGATGTCGTACCCGAGGCGCCAGAGAGAGCTAAACTTGTTCTCTTTATCTCATAGACAGGATGACTTAAAAGAGTTTTTTGAGGGACCCTCCCAGCCTAGCAGGTAACTCTTCTCCCACAGTGATAACCCACCCCTAAGGGGACACCAGCTGAAGCTGGTCAAACCTCGTGCATTAAAGAGAGAAAGGGCAAACTACTTCTCTCATAGTGTTCAACGCCTGGAATAGACTTCCTGATGAGGTTGTCTCGGTGTCCACGCTGGAACTGTTCAAAAAAAGGCTTAATGAGATGTGGGACGTAACCTTCCCCGAATCAGCCTAAGGAAAGAATCTTCAGTCCTTGGTGGTAGTCATATCTTTAGCTTTTCCATACATCACCATCCCCTCATCTTCATTATCATTGTCATCCCATATACTTCAACCACCTTCACCTCACTTGTCTAACTCCAGCTCCCGACACCCTCCTCTCTGTACTAGCTTACTTTTCTTTTCTCATCTTAACATATCTTCGCATGCCTGCGGGTTCTCTGCTGTTTGCTGGAGGGATACTCTGGTTAGCCTGAGTGATCATCTGGTGCTGCTTTAATCGATAGCAAACCGGATTGACGTCCGTGATTCGCGGCCGCACCATTACACCCACAAGGATCGATCAACTCACTGTCAAGGCTTTACAAGACATACGTGACTCGTAGAAGAAAGAACCTGGACTGGCTCAAGCAGCAAGTCTTGTGAACTGTCCTGTCCTGTTCTGTTCGGCCTTGTGCTTCCTGGATATGTGGGCATTATGATTTGTTAGATCACAGCTAAATTTCACTCGGACCCTAGCAATAAATTTGCAATATATCCTTCACAATCACGCCTGCACTTTATTCAAACTTAATTTGGAGTGGATAATAAAATTGTAAACAAAAATTTATCATTGGATAAACATGAAGATTTGGTGTCCTTAGGACCTATATATATATATATATATATATATATTGTGGTGATTGCTCATGAACTATGAACTCCGATACGTATAGG